TTTTAATGAGTGATTTTAGCGGTTAGAAGAACAAGAAGAAGTTCCAAGATGGCCGCCACGGACCACAACAAACATTCAACTGTTTTCCCGAGCAGCCGCTCGCGCTCGGGAGCCCCAATAACCTACCTAATGTTATATCGCGTCTGTTGGAGTCAAACTTGGTTTTGTTAGAATCGGAAGAACGTGAAGAACACGATAAAAACGATATCGGACCTATAAGAATGCTATTTAGTGTTGATCTTTAAAAATAATAGTTCATGTTCACAATTTTAACAAACCAACACCATATCTTAGAAATGAACCTGAAAAATTCGCCACGTATGTTCAAATGCTATTTTATGTGTTCTCCTCTTTCTTCCGATCAAAATGATATCAAATTTGACTCAAATGGGAGCAATATAACGTTGAGCGAGGGCGGCTGCTAGCAGCCGCTTCGGGAAACAGTTGATGGTTTGTTGTGGTCCGTGGCGGCCATCTTGGAACTTCTTCTTGTTCTTCTAACCGCTAAAATCACTCATTATGTCAAACTTCTTAAGTCAGAACATATTTCTTACTCAATTTCCATTATCCCAAATGGGGAAAATATTTATGAAATTTTTACACTTGCCAGTAAACCTAAAAAAAAAACAACCACTATAACAGTGTCTTTTTTTTGTGTGTGTTTACTGGGATTCCTGTAGAACAAAGAATTAGTTACTTGACAAAGTAAAAGTAATACGAAAAAGGCAACTGTAGAAAACTTATTAGAAGTTGTACCGGGGGCTCTAACAATCTAATAACCAATCTCGCAGACCCTCAAATAAGAAACATTAAGCTTTCAAAAAGAATAAAAACAATCATGCAAAATATTAAACATATAACATATTGATGATGGCTGAAACAATGAAATAAAATACAATCAACACATGCAAGGAACACATCAGCTACAACTTCTTCATCCCTCAATAATTTCCTTTAACCCTTTGTGGTCGTTTTTTGAACGGGTCGCGGGAAAAATAATTTTTTCATTTTTTCTAAAAGGCCTCAGTCCCCTGACTCCGCTGACCTTTGAAATTTCGCGCTATCTCATATAGTTCTCGAGATATCGCCTGTTGCCCTCAAGCAACAAAGACCATAGAGGCATACCCAGTTCGCTAATTCACTGCCCCCATATAGTCTTTGTTGCTCTAGAGCAACAAACTTCTCTGGCGCTTCTCGCGGCCATATTAGCCACTATCATGATCTACTCACCTGGGTCGGACCGACCCGATGCTAGACCATGTGGCTGAACACAAAAATCGCACCTCCAGACTCGCGCCTCCCCTACAAGTAGTACCACAGTAACCCCCGGGACTGTTGCTCCTGAGCAACAAACCAATAGGGGGGTTTCCTTTGCCGTCGCCAAATGATAGCATTCACTTCATACAGGCAAGTGAAGGGTAGCAGATCTGCTCGAGCAGGCGTGCACGCGCGCGTGCGTGCGCGTGCGTAGGCGTGCGCGTGCGCGCGCACATGGATTGCACGCAGCGTCATCCTTGCAGCAGAGAAGTAACTGTAAGTTTTCGGTGGTGCTCCATCACGTGCCTCACCAAAATAGTACGCCATCCAGTTCAAGCAAAAGAAGTGCTAAATCATGTACAAACAACGGCTAAACAGTGTCACATCACCTCGGCAGAGGTCTTAATCGATTCGTATCCCAAATTCTCACATTGGGACACCATAGGCGACCAAATCGGACGCGCGCGCGCGCGCATCCTGGCCAACTAGAAGGTACCCAAGTGCACAATCATCTACAAACGCATGGCTTGTCGCCGTTCTACCACGTCCTTGAGGTGTTGTATCAGGGTGATTCTCAGAATACGGGCCATTTGGGAGTTCCTTAATTATTTTTTTCTGTCGAATTTGCTAGGTTTTTGGGTCGCAATGGTTTTATTTACCTTCAAATAAGATACTTGTAAAGTGGCGATAGTTCAAATCACGTACTTCTAGTACAACGTTAAAAGACCATATTGTGGTCACGTTCAATCAATGATAAAACTCAAATATTGCCTCCCGCACCTTTTAATTAGTCTTTTGTTTGCTCCACTAGTGTGTCGTACTCATATTTTACATCCAGTCATCCCCATTTTATGCGTTTTAGTATGACTAGAACATTGCAATAAAGAACTTGTTTTTCGCCCCGACACTGCTCCACAGATGCCCAACCTCATAATGTACAGTTCTAAATTAACCCCTTACTACATATTTTCTCATTAGGTCATTACAACGCGTTACCTGTAACTAAAAGTTATTAAACAAAGGTCAGACCAACAAAAGGGGATACGGAGTTCACAAGTCAGAAGGTACTAATTGAAGCATTACTAATCCGGGGTTGCAGATGCAAGGATCCGCTTAGCCACAAAAGAAGCAGCACATCAAAACCTTCCTTTTCATCGAAAGGGGGATTTGATATGACGCAATCGTGCCTGTGTGGAGGCGACACGGTATTCACACTGCAAAAGCGTACCAGCCAACTTTCAAATTTGAAGACAGTTTTTGACGATGATGAAGTAGGAGCTCTGCCGATTGCTTCGGGGAACATTAATAGTCCCTACAGAGTAGTACTGTGGGCTGGGCAAAGAATTGTTACTCTACCTCTGCCCAGTTTGACGTCAGTGCAAACATTGTGAACTCCGTTACTTTTTGAAAATGTTTGTGAGAACGACTTTGGTCGTCTCCTGACGAAATATAGAAAGATATTTCCACATCGAAATTCATTCCTTGCGTTCCCTGGATATGTCACTCCAGAAATGCAATGTGCCTTAGACGACTATTCCCTTAAAATTGTCCGGCATTTGTGTTGCACCAGGTAGTATTAGTGCTTTCGAGTATCTAGATGGTATAAAAACCTTTTCAAACCATCACATAGTTGTGAAGGGCCGCGGAATCTAAACGGCCCGTATTCTGAGAATCACCCATCACCAACCCGGCCGGATGACCATCAGACAGGCGCGTGTCGGTGGCGTGCGCCCGCATCCTGGCCAGCTAGAAGGTACCGAAGTGCACAATCATCTACAAACGCGTTGCCATTTTCCTACTATTAGGCGATAACTTTTCCAATTCTCGCTTCTGGAAGGAGAATACATGGTTCGATTATGGAACAGTTTATAGAAATTGCTGATACCTTCTCATCTTATACTCACACTTGAAACACGAAACTTATGATGCTCTTCACATCGTGGCCACTTGCATACATGTCTGAAATTGAATGTATGCAATTATTGTTGAGTCAATATGCGATGAAATACATATTTTTCTCTACTGTTATACTGCTAACTCTGGTGTTTTCTTTTTTGATTTCTTCTTAACCAGTTTCTGAGCTGTCTTGGCCGTGTTCGATCTAGTTTCATACTTCATATTAGGGGTGTATGACCTGAAAAGATGAGATGAAACAAAATTTGAGCAATGGATTCATGTTAATCTAAAATTATTATTTACCCTCTAATTGAGATTATCGAAAATTCTTTATATTCTGTGTTTGGCTATTTCATAAATCAAAATTCTTTTCCGCCTTTTGGGGGTGTTGGTGGTTGCACCTTTTTTCCGAATGCTTCTCTCATTGGTGTTGTCACATTTATTTTTTCCTGCAGGCTCGTAGTAAGTTTCGTCCAGTTCTGCAGGAGGTGTGTTCTCCGGAAGACCATGGTTCAGCCTGCATAAAAAGTACAGTGTAAGACATACTGATATATGACTAACTCTGCCCGTTTTCTCATTAAATTTAGTTACCCATCTTTATCCTTATCGGAGAGACATTCCCACTTATTTGCCCCGCTCTCAAGTATAGCACTATCACTGTCTGAACTGGTTTCATTAACACTTGAGAAGCACAGCTTTCGTGGCAATGACTCAGAACTTTTGGGAGTTGATACCATCACACTTTGAATACCAAGATGAAAAGAGCCATTCAGCAAATTCCTACAACTGTAAAAATAATGTTAGTGTTAGAATAGATCTATTTGAGGGTATGCATTACTAAATAAGGCTCTATTTCCATTAGCAACTTGCATATTGCACATTAAAACATAATTAGAGACCACTAAATTATGCGTTTGAAATCATAAGATTATGCGCCTGTTTTTGGATGTTTTATGTGCTGTTTATGCGGCTAAAAGTACTGTTTTATGCGGTGTTTATGCGGTCAAAATAGTGCAATTATGCAGAAATACGCGATTTCCAAAAGGTAAATCGTGCGGAGAAAATTCAAAATTTGTCGGTATAATTTGTTTATTATATGATAACACTCTAATAGTAGTAGTATACAAAATAATAGAGTTTTTTCGTCCTAAGTCAGTAAAAAATCCAGAAAATCAGTCAGGTTACAGGCCAGGTCACAGGTCATCACAAAACATATCTTCAGTATCATTAAAATACACAGATGGGGGTCCACTGCCACTAGCTACTACTCCATCACTTTCACTGTAGTCAGTAGCATTATTATTATTAAGATCTATCATCCCACTACTAAAATACATGCACATCATAGCTTCTACCTTATCTTTGGTTAAGTTTGTTCTCTTTGGGGTAAATATATCTCCATATGCACTAAAACCCCTTTCACTGTCAACATTTGACACACTTACATGTAACACTTGCAAACAAGAAACAGCAAATATTGGGTGATCCTGCATCATAGACATTAGAGCATTCACAACAACATCCTCCCTAGAACCCCCCTTCTTAGAATGACTAGCATTAGCATTATTTTCTTTAACATGGTCAGAAAGTAATGAATGCAAAATGACAAAGTTAGCTGTAGGAATACAATTTAAAATAGCAATACTTTCCTTTGCTTTGACGATTTTCTCACTCGAGAGAGAAGCAGACAGCTTACAAGGATTAAAAAGAATATTAGATGCCTCAAAAAATTCTGAAGCAGTGTCCTCTTTAAGTTGGGATTTTATTAGATCATTACAAGCCTCACACACCTTCTTAATTCTCCCAAGTAATGTCTTTTGTTTTGTGTGAGGCACTAAAGCAACACTGTCTTTTGTCTTATCAAAAAGGACCCCCTGAATAGAGTCCCCAGCATTAGCTACACTAGAAAAGGGTTTGCGAATCTCACTAACCTTTGCATACAACAAATGGGACATGGGGTACTTAGATCCTTCAACCATTAATTGCAAATCACAAACAGGGCTACAATATTCTACCACAAACTTTGCCTCTGCCTTAATAATCATAATATCTTCAGGTTTCAGTTTCCGAAAATATTTGACAGCCTGACTGTCATATGACTTTCCTGTTAATTCTTTGCAAACATAATCAGCAATATCTTCAGCATAATCAGCTATATAGACAGCAGATTTTTTCCAGGTTCCCCATCTAGTCATAACAGGTAATGGAAACAGCTTAATTTCTTTAGCATTTGTAAAAGAGTACTTAGTTTTTAAATAATTAATATATTTGTGTTTCCTTTTTCTTGTGTTCTTAAATAGCTTTTTAGAAAAAGAGACACAATCATTTAGTCTAACCAGTTGCTCAGGGAAGATTTTAACAATCTTATCTAATTTGTGGGCCCAGCACTGCAAATGAATCAAACTAGGGTTATCTAGAAGTGTTTTTAGGAGCCGAATGCATAAATTCATGTAGGCTGCACTGTCTGATCCAATAGCGACCACATCCTGATGGGCCACTTCAAAATGTTGAATAGTCTGTAAAAGAATGAAAAAGAGGGGGGGGGGTTATTAGTTTACTCCATAAACTCAATAAATAGCACAAAAAAAAAATAGTTATACAAAACTCCAAACCTGCAAAAAAGCCTTAGAGCATTCGTCCGCATTAGTGTTCTGCAGTATTTTCACAGAAGCAACAAAAAGATTTGGTGTGGGATTCTCCTTGGAAGGTAGTATCTTGAACAGGACAAGGAAAACAGCTTGGCCTAATCTATTGGTTGTTTCGTCGCACAGCACAATGATTTTGTTCCCTTTCAGTTTTGATTTCAGTATATCATCATAATCGTCCTTCAAAAGAGGAATGTACTTCTCTCGAAGTTGTTGAGCATTGGGCAAATCACCAGAACCTGTAAACAAAAAAATAAACATTATAGATAGGCGACGTAACATTTGAGGTTAGGATGAACATACATTCATTAAAATAAACCGACAAACCCCAGGTCACCCCACTTATAAGTTTTCACTCACCAGGTACATATTTATTGAGCCACTGACGAAATTCTGTCTTGTCAAGCTTTTCTAGGGGAATGTTAGCATTCAAAAATGCACGCACAGTTGACTTGATAAACTCTTCTCTATCTTGTTTAAGTTTCTTGGCATTGCTGATACTTTCTGCTATTGATACTTGACGTTTATTATTTTTCTCTGCTAATTTTCTTTCCTTATTACCTTTGTGTTTGTCACTGTCAACGTGGTTGTCAATCACACTCTTACGAGTCCAATCAATTGGCTTTTGGCAGTACCCGCACATCAATTTTGTCTTTTCAAACACATACATTCCCTCATTTTTGTAATCACTTGCTCTTGAAAACACTGTCACACTAGTAGTCATTTTTGTTCTGTTGATGCACCCCGTCCACACAATCAATATAATTAAATTACATTTACAGGCGCACTTTCACCTTCACTCACAGGCACAACCTAACCTAAGCGAAACGCGACGAACGCGACGGTCGCTTCACGGCACCATCTGTACGCCACGCCCCCTCCCCCTCTCGTCCTCCCCCCATTCCCCGCTCAGTGCGCGGCGAGTCTAGAAGGCGCTGGAAGTGGCGGGCGCGCAAATTGAATTCCAGTTCAGCGTCCATACCGAAATTTCATGCGTTTTAAGAATTTGTACAGCGGAAAATGGTCAATTATGCGACAATTGTGTAGTTTTATGCGCATAATGTGTGATGGTGCGATATGCTGCATTCAACACTAAATTATGCGTTATTATGCGGCCTAGAAAACGATCCAGACAAGTCGAAAATATGTTGTAGTGTTGTTAATTTGTCATTTTAGACGATTTTACAAAATTATGCGATTATGCGCCCGCATAATTTAGTGGTCTCTAAACATAATGACAGTAAACTATTCTCACTTACCCTTGCCAGACAGCCTCCATTCTTTCATTTTCAAAAGTCATCTGCAAATACCTTCTTTTGTACTGTTTGTACAGACTCCTGTACTTCTGTTCAGACATTTTTGTGGCTTTGGTTATCACACGACAGCATTTATGTACGCAAAAAATCTAGGTTTGTTGTGTTCTGTACGAGCAAGACGTCTCGCGCGCCAAAACGAGCACCGCACTGGCGTCAGGCCGTCTGGCTCTGTAGCTGCTGCCTCCAGTTGTATTGTTGCCGAGCGAGGTCATTGACCTTACTGCGTTCGTTCGGCTTCTCTCCCTAGCGGCCCTCGTGTGAGAGGTGCGCAGAGCTCCGGGCTGGTATCGCCTGGGCCAGAGACACCCCGAACGAGACTACTCGCTCCGCTGTAGCGCGCGTCGGCTCGCCTGCAGCCTAGCCTCAGACGGGGTGGTTTGTGGCCGGGCCGGCTCCCAGGCGATACCAAAGCGCTGTGATTGGCTGCCGCTCGGCTGCTCTGCGCACCTCTGACACGAGGGCCGCTATCTCTCCCGCCCGGTGAGTGCGAGTCAGTTGCCCCTAACCATCGCGCCTCTCGTCTTGATCAGACTCAGCGTCCTCGTTCATATCGCGACCGCGACGTGAACGGTTTTTAAACGGACCCGTTTCTACCAGACACCGCCGCGCAGGGGGGAAGGAGGAAGATCGTTCAACACCACTTGTTGCATTTTCGGCCGCATCTGGGTAACATCCCAAAAATGAACACCCCGAGTAGTCGGATTCCCGCGCCCCGCGCGCGCGCCGGCCGCGCCAAAAAAGTCTTATTACTACTTAAAAACTACGCGCTGCATTGATCTAAGACGAAAGGTGTATTGAAAGCATAGAGGAACGCTAATTTTGCCGTTGCCCCAGGTGCGCGCGCAAGAACATGCCCATCTTCACCTCCAACTGGACGATGCAGTTTTCTCAACTTAATCTGTACAAGTATTCCAACACAATTACGTTATTTAGTTTCACTGATGTTGTCAGTCTATTATCAACTAAAAAACACCTAACGCATCCATCTTCTACAAACAATTATAACATGTAACAATTTTGAATTAATTCCTATAAGTCATTTTTCTTTTATTCACAAAATATTGCGCGAAATTGTTGAATAGAAAATTTTCTTAACTACGGGTGCGTTTATGGTTAACAAGAATTGTTAACGTTTTTCTTTTAAATTGATTGTTGATTGATTATGAGATACGAGAATGATCACTCAAGGTACGTGTTATTTCGTTAGCGTTGCAAAGAGCGATGTTGCAACCAGAGATGTTCGCAATACAAGTTTATAGCGACCGTGTTTTGTGTATGAATGTGTTTAAATGTTAGTTCACTTCTGCTAAATATATATTTCTTTTGGACATAGGCTAGCAAAATCCTCTTTCAAATTGGTTGAGTTGACTCTTTTTTATCATTAGAATGCAACTTAACCTCAGTGTTCCTTTATTGGGCCAAGCTAAAACTGCAAACACTATTTATTCATTCATCAAAACGAGCAGCTCTCTATTGTCAGTCCTTGTCCTCCTCTGTTAACCTTTCAAAACTTTTTTTATTTTACAGGAGACAGACCGCTGAAAGGAATAGCCCTCCACAACTTCTATGGCAAAAACAATCGCGTTGTTGATGAGGATGATTCTTCACTATCAGTTGACGATATAATGCCTGACATCATTATTCCAGAGACCCAGCACAGTGAACTATATTCTAGTCGAACTGAAGATAGTATTCCGAAAGAATCTAGTCAAGATCAAGATGAGTTACCCCTTGCCGCTTCCAAATATGTGGTATCTAAGGTGAGTGGCTATTTTGTTTTTGCAATGACATGACAGTGAAAAAAAAAACCACCATTTATTAGTTTGTCCTGAAACCTATTTAATCTTGCTTTGAAGTCATCTAGTGATACTACTGCTGCTCTTGATGGTAATGTCAAGAAAGGACACCTGCTCGCTGGTTCTCGTTCAGATGATTCTGATTCCGACATCCCTCTCGCTTCCCTGAAGAAAAAATGTAAAGTGAGTATTTTTCTTCTACTTTTAAAATACTTCAATTGGTTTTCCCTTGTTATGTTCTTTAACCATTCACATGTTTTATTTTAATCCTTTTTTTTTTTAGAAATCTTCAATTGTACACTTGCCACCAGCCGATCCCAGACCTACCCAAGAAAGGAAACAAATTGAAGAGCCATCGTCAAAATCTAAGAAGTCAAAGAAAGAAAGCACCCCTGTACAGGCTCCTGCTTCCATACCGAAGTCCAAGCCAGCTTGCAAAGTCAAGTCTAGTCACAAACCAAAGGGAAAAACAAAAACTTCAAAGTCATTGAGCAAGTTGAATGAGGAGAAAACAGTCACTTAAAAGAAACCTACACTCCAGGCTAAGCCAAGTGGAAACACAATAGATTCCTCACCAGGTAAATAAAATTATCTAATGTTTTCCATGCCAATGTCTTGTTTATTTTTATGTGGCTCAATTCAACACCTTTTGGTTTTGCTGCAGCGTATGTATTTAATGTTGTAACCTAAATGTAAGTGAAAGACTAATGTTGTATGTTCTTGATCACAGATCGATGCTCTCCCATTAAAGCGGCGCCGCCGCCGCGGAGGGCGAGGCCGCCAAGCCGTTGCTGAGCAGGTGCCTGACCAGCCCCCCTTGGTGAGTTTTCATTGGTCTTGCGAGTATTGTAACTTATATGGTGGTGATTGACTAATTATGTTTTCTTGATTACAGAATGAACCAACGCGAGGCCAAAGGCGAGGTGGCCGCGGTGGTCGTGGCCAGGCAGGCCAGGCAGGCCAGGTGGGCCATGAGGGCCTCGGTGGGCAGCCAGGCCGTGGTGGTCGTGGCCAGGCAGGTGGTCGTGGCCAGGCAGGTGGTCGCGGCCAAGCAGGCCGCGGTGGCCGTAGGCGAGGTGCCCAGGCAGGCCAGGTGGGCCGCGGTGGCCAGGCAGGCCAGGGACGCGGTGGTCGTGGCCAGGCAGGCCAGGTGGGCCGCGGTGGCCAGGCAGGCCAGGGACGCGGTGTTCGTGGCCAGGCAGGCCAGGGCCGTGGCTTGGGGCATGGTGGCCGTGGCCCCCACCATCCAAGCTACTGGAGAGGCCCTCGCGGATTCTGGAGGGGACCCCGGGGTTTCTGGAGGGGCCCTCAGGGAGGAGCCTAGAGGAGTCAGCGCGGCTTTTGGAGCAACACTTGCCCATGGCGCTGCTAGCCCCTCATTTGTTTTATTACTTGCCCTATTTTTAAATGTTTTTTAATATTTTTTTGTTAAAGTGAATCATGTTCATGCATCTACTTGTTATCATTTTTCTTACTTGGAAGCAATTCCTATCCTTGTACAATTTTGACGAACTTGATGTGACGAGAAATT